GTTTTTGTTTGGTTTTTTTAGTAGAGCAACCAGAAAAGTTGGGAAATTGAAATTTTAGAAAGATGTCTACTGTCTGTGTGCAGCCAAGAACAAAGTGTAATAATGTTTTATTCTGTATTCGGTGTAGCGTGGGCGGAAACATACCTGACTTCCAAAACCTGCTATCAGTATGATGTATTTTAAAAAAAATTTTTTTTCACAGGCTTTATGATATATATCCATAAAGTTTGTGTGGAAAAAATTTCATCATTTATGCTGAAGTTTGTGCTCCCATGCTGCCTCACAGTACGGCACGCCGTTCCTGTGAATACTTCTTTTTCCCCGTCGGAAAAAACTAAAGACATTGCCAAGATAAATGCACAAGTTAAACTGTAAAGTAACGACCGTCTAGGATTTGCGCAAAAATTCATGATCATTAGACAAACCCAGCAGCTCTGGTGCGCTGCATTCTTCCTTGAAACTATCGCTGTTGGGAAATGCGGTAGTCAGCAAAGTGGACGTTTTGTGCTCTCCGGCGGACTTCAACTTTTCCTGCAGTTGCTTCGATTTCCAGCATCCCATTTGTACGATAGAACATTCGGCTTCAGTGCTGCATTGGTCAGTAGTGGTGGGTTGAAATCTACCATCGTATTTATACGAGAACTTCGAAATTAGATAGAGACTTATCGAAATTTTAAAACATTTTAAATTTCAATACGGGAGTTCATCCCTTCCAGAAAAGTAGCAGTGGTTCTTGCAGGTTGTTAACAGACACGAAGCAGTTGCAGTTGTTCAGAGAGTGTGGGTTGACCAGTCTATCTGAGGGTGCTCACGTCAAGGTTGGCTCTTTATTTGCGAATTTCATTTTTGTTTTTTTGTACAAATTGCAGAAGAGTTTAATTCGGATTTTGTTAGGCTTTCATTTGCAAGTTTGTATTTTCAGAGACACATATCTTGCAGAAAAAAATCAGGCGCATGCCAGCGACGTGAGATTGCGGTTTCATCTGCAAAGTCCAAATATCAGTTTCTGGATTCAAGTTGGATTAGAGCGGCCTGTGACAATTCAGATTTATGGACTGGAAGCCTACCGTCGAAGAATCGGATGTAAGAAAACGACTTGCTTAGATAACACTGCCGTATCGGCTCCTCAGTTTTAAAATAGTTTTGAATGTAATTATTTATAGGTGTCAGTCTGGTTTCGCGACGACAAAAGCATTAAGGACGCA